ATCAATTCCTTTATGTGCATGAGTTCCAGTTAAATCTGATACTTTGTAAGCAATATTTCTGACTTATCCTGTTACCATGAATCAGGATTTTATTTCAGTACGAGTCAGATGCACACGGGAATAGAGGTGATGAGTATACTGATGAAAAGTATGTGCTGAGCTAAAAAAAAAAAAAAAGAGAGCGAATGACACAAGAAGGAATAAAATATGTAAGCTGAAAAAACAATCATACTCCCCAGGAAATGACTGCAAGGCGATCATTTCAAGTCTCTGAATTAAATGGAATTTGCACATGAAACTTTCTCTTGGCTCCCAAAAAAATCCTATATTTCCATAAGTTCTATCCCACTCTGAATAACCACATTGAGCTAGAAGTTTGTAAACTTACTTCCTTGGATTCCCAGTTACTGAAGAAGCCCATAGGATGTACTTCCTAATTGCACTGACACAATTTCGCTCAGCCCTGTGAATATGAACTTCCTTGTGTCACAGCTTTCACAGAGCCTTTCTTCTAAAGGACAACTGAACAATGTAACATTATGCATGATGGGATACGCAGTCTTGAGAAATCGAGATTGCATCACATCAAGCACCAGGGAAAGATATACAAAGCACACTGGGAATACAGGAAGTTGTTAAAAGTGATGGGCAGACGGAAGGATCACTCACTACATAAAAGGGATTTTTTTAAGTCTTTGATTGCATTACAACTCTAAAATGTATTCCTATTACAGTGCTGATGGTATAACGGAATAGGATATGCTGGGACTTTAGAATGCTTTAAAAAGGTTGTTGGGATCCGATCCGGCGTGTCAGTATACTGAGCTTAGGGTGACGGGAGGACACTAGTTTGTGTCCTCCCGTTACCCTAAGGAGAACTATGGGGAAAAGCCCTGACCCCATAGTTCTCTTTAAAAAAAATGTATCCGCCAGGGAGAACAGGGACCCCCCACCCGACAGAATTTCATAATAGCATAATTCAAGCATGTAGCATTCTTTTGTGCCTTCCCTTCTCAGTCTGCAGGTCATAGTCACACAAAAATAGATGCTAGACTGCAACCCTTGGTTCTTACAAACATAAATACAGTACCAGCCACTAGATTGGATGCATGTACAGGTGAAACTCGAATAATTAGAATATCGTGCAAAAGTGATTGCAGTAAGTGCTGCAAAAGGGGCCTAAACCAAGTACTGAGTACATATGCATGCTTGTACTTTTCAGAGGTCCGATATTGTTCTATGTACAATCTTTGTTTTATTGATTGCATGTAATAATCTACTTTTTTGAGGTTGTGGATTTGGGGTTCTTGGGGTTTTCATGAGCTGTAAGCCATAATCATCACAATTATGACAAATCACGGCTTGAACTATCTTGCTTTGCATGTAATGAGTCTCTCTCATATATTAGTTTCACCTTTTAAGTTGCATTAGTGAAATAAATGAACTTTGCACGATATTCTAATTATTCGAGTTTCACCTGTATATGTCCTCGATGTTAATAAGAGGGTGCCAAGCAGTGGCGACTCTAGGAACAATATATAGGGGGGGCACATAAGATACCACAGTCAAAACTGGGGGGGCACTAATAATTTTCACCACTAAATCATACCTGTCACTGTCATTAAAATGGGTCTGTCATCCACACCGCACATTACTATGTTTTGTTGCTGTAGAGCTTTGTTATACACATGATCCAGGCACAGTGTGAGGGATGGAGTGCCCCAGACTTAAAGGATATTTAAACCCTCCCGTTTTTTTGCATATATCTCCTGCTAGCAAGCAGGAGATATATGCAAAAAGTTTTTAAAAAACCAAAAAACGCTCAAACAGCAGTTTAGGCTCACCTGTGTTCCGTGCGCGGTGCCGTGCCGAAAATGAGAAATTTCTCGAGCGGCCGCAAAGGATCTTGGGGTGGCGCGTGCATTTCTCATTTTCGGCCGGGACGCGACGAGGGATGCAAGGTAAGTCTATGGACGCGTCCACCCGCATGCAGACACTGATGGATCGGAGGGACAGAGCAGTCAGCGCTCGATCGGAGAGCTGCCGCACCGCTGGAGAGAAGGCTGAAAACATGGGGAAAGAAGAGGAAGATCGGAAAAAGAGATATCATTTAAGGTAAGTGCTAACACCAACATTGGGGGGAGGGAAAAATCTTTTGCCTTTAATGTCACTTTAAAGGGTTATCAAACCCTCACTTTTTTTGCATGTATCTACTGCTAGCAAGCAGTAGATATATGCAGAACCATTAAAAAAAAAAAAAAACTTTTGCAAAGGGTTCATACCTGTGTCTCCACGGTCTTTAGAAATCAATGGCACAGCAAGTGCGTCTTGTCGCGTTTCCACAGACACATGCCGATCACGCACATCGCCAGTCACCCTCAGAATGTACAGCAGACTCACATTGGCGGGTTGCTGTTAACGGCTGTTTGATATACATACGATCGGCGGCTCTATAGCCTGCCGATTGCATGTATGTGCTGTCTTTGCGCGCCCCCCTCTCCCCCTCGAGCGCTGCCGTCCCCACCTCCTGACCCCTCACCTTCAATCCCGGGCTCCGCTAGTCCATCTGCGGCTCGGGAGGACATCAGGAGGTAATATGGGAGGGAGGTCAGCATCTTTCTCCTTGCTGAACTTCCTCCGAGGTCTGAATGCAGATGTGATGTGTATTATATCACTTCGGCATTCACCTGTCAGTCCTCTGGCTGCTATAGCCAGAGAGAAGAAGCTGATGAAGCAGATCTCTGCTTCATCAGCTTCTTTTGGGGTCCCCGGGTGACATTAGGGGTCTTAGAGACCCCTAATGTCTCCATAAAGAGGACCTGTCAGTGTACCTGTGCTATCACATAGGGAGATTGTTATCCCTCTATGTGATAACAATAAGTGTAAAAAAAATAATAAAAGTGACATATAAATAAAACTTAAAAAAAAAACCAAAATGTTTAAGTCCCCCACCCCCACATTTACACACATATAAACGTAAATATGCGTTTGATTCGCCTGCGTGCGAAAATGACAATTGCGCTACCCATGTTGCATATCGTCGTGAACGTCGGAGTGAGAGCAATCATTCTAGGGCCGTCAATCACTGATAGCACTAAACGGATGAGCGGTAAAAGCTTTTAAAGCGCCGCCTTTGGCCAATTTTGGGTATTGTAGTTTTTTGAGGTTTCCCGCGCGTGCGCAATTTTAAGGCTT